GGTTAAGTGAGGGGAGAGAGGAAGCCCTTGGGGGGGGCAGGGGGGAGAATTAATTAGCTGCTGTTACTTTAGATCTCCAGGCCAGATGCTCTCTGATGTCAGAGGGGCCCTTTGCCATCTCTCCGCAGATGCCACCAGAGTGAGCCCTCCTGAGTGTGTGTAGGTGCTGGCAGGAACGGGGCCTGGAACTGGACCCACTCACCGTGGAGGGTTTTTTACCCTGTGCCTTTAGCATATTTAGACCCTGACGGTGATAGGAATGGAGAGCCAGGAGCATGCCGAGCGTATAAACTCGGCCGGAGCTGACCAGCTCTGCAGGAGAGGAGGGTTGTTTGGCTGGGGATGGGGCTTACGGCGTTTACAAGCACCCGGCTTGTGGAGCTTATAACCTGGTGGCTTTGCCTCCTCTTGTGTCCTCCCCCTGCTGGGGGCTCTTCTGTGACGTTTTAACTCTGCAGGTTCCCTTTGAAAATGAATGTGATGAGGTGACCCCCAACAATGGCACGAGAAGAAACATGCACAAAGCTACTGAGTCTGGCAGGACCCGAGTCCCTCGTTTATGGTGGGATTGATTGTCTTGGTGTGGCTATGCCAACGCCATTATCCTGGTGCAAACGCACTGCAGTAGTGTAAGCGTGGACACCGTGAGTCATGCTGGTGCAAGCCCCACTGGGAACAAATATCACGTGTTTATGTAATGGCCACCAGTTTGGCCAATCAGCCTTAAGCTGAACCACAGGAGGCTGCAACAGACCTCCACCTCTCTGACTTGGCTCAGAAGGGGACACGTAGTATTGGAGTGAGCTGCAACTGCATTAAGTGTTTGCACCGCGGCTGCAAATGTCACTAGCTTAGACCCGCTCTGAGGGCCGGACTCCCCACGGCCTTGCACCCTGTGCAGCCTGGGTGTAAAACGCCACCATTCCTGGCCCCGCACCCTTTGCACCAGTGCAAGCCATTGCACCCAGGCAGGGCGACTGAGAGCCAGGCCCCTTCACCCTTCATAAGCAGGAGAAGTAAGTTGGGAACCCTCCTGAAGTTTTCACCAGGGAATATCTGACTCTTTCCGGTAAGTCCCTTCCCACCGGAGCCGGAGGTCCTAGCACTGGGGTATTCTCGTCACGCTGGGCATACCTTCGTGTCATGCGTGGGCTGAGGACATAGAGTGACAGTCAGGTCGTGGGAACTCCAGCATAATTTCCTTCCATAAATTAAAATTAGTTTTGATGAGCTAAATATAGCAGCCGAGGAAGAGGGTAAATGGCCAGGGCTTGTGAGAAGGAAGCAAGATGAGAAATGGCATTTGAGTGAATGAAGGGCGGTGTGGGATGAGCCAGCCCCAGCATTTCAGCCCCACCCAGAGCTTTGGGAAAAGTCCCAGTCACTGTGCATTCAGGGGAAGGGGGCATGGGTGAATTTTCTGCACAGTGCCTCTGGGGGCTGGGAGCAGAGCTGGGGGTGCTTCAACAAAGGACCATTCCCCTGGGAGTTCTGGCCCGGGAGGATCATGAGAGATCCCCGATCTGCAGAGGTCCCCAGATCGAGGGTGAGACTGAGAAGGTTTGGGGAGCTTCTGTACACGGCTCTTAAGCCCAAATTGACCCAGGTCTAAATCCAAAATAGGAAGGAAGGTTTGGAGATGCCTGGAAAAACTGGATACAAGAATCCCTGCCTCCAAGTATCTTCCTGCCAGCTGCATCCTGGTCCTTTCTCTGTCCGTTTCTTCCTTGCATCCCTCCACCCTGTCCCCTGGGGTTAGCAGCAGGTCAGCATGCACAGACTCCTTCCCGCACTTGGGGACAGCCGGTCCACTCTGGCTGCTTTGCTTGCCCCATGGTGGTATATCGGGTGCCAACGCTGGGGGATTTGCTGGGTCTGTCCCCGGCCTGTTGTATAGCTGGATAGTATTCTGAGACTCCTGCAGCTCTTCTCCCGGAGTGCCCAGGGGGTCTGGGGTAATTGCCTTGTGGGATGTAAGGAACAGCTGAACAAGGGCAGTTGGAAAGTTCGTGGCTTCCTGGCCATGCTGAAAACCCCCACAAGTGGCACCGATTCAGCCGGACCTAGAATCATAGAAATGCCGGGCTGGAGGGGACCTCGAGAAGTCACCGAGCCCAGCCCCCTGCGCTGAGGCAGGACCAAGTAACCCTAGACCAGCCCTGATAGGTGTTTGTCCAGCTGTTCTAAAAACCCTCCAGTGACGGGATTCCACCACCTCCTGGAGAGCCTGCCTCAGCGTTTAATGACCCATAGAGTTAGAACATTTTCCTAATATCGAACCTCAATCTCCCCTGCTGCAGATTAGCCCATTGCTTCTTGTCCTTCCTTCAGTGGACGTGGTGAACAATCGATCACTGTCCTCCGTAGAGCAGCCCTTAACAGATTTGACGACTGTTCTCTGGTCCCCCTATCAGGTTTCTTTTCTCGAGACTAAACATGCCCAGGGTTTTTAGCCTTTCCTCAGTGGGCAGGTTTCTAACCCTGTTACCAGTTTTGTTGCTTTCCTCTGGACTCTCTCCAGTTTATCCTCATCTTTCCTAAAGCGCGGTGCCCAGAGCTGGACACAGGACTCCAGCAGTGCCGACAATGGCCTCTCGTGTCTTACAGCTGACGCTTCTGTGACTACACCCCAGAATATCAGCCGTTCTCCTAGCTGCATCGCATTGCTGACTCATATTCAATCTGTGATCCACTGTAACCCCCAGCTCCCTTTCAGCCGTGTGACAACCCAGCCATTCTGGAGTTGGGCGTTTGATTTTTCCTTCCTAAGTGAAGTGAATTTCATCTTGTTGATTTCAGACATTTCTCGAATTTGTCAAGATCATTTTGAATTCTAATCCTGTTCTCTGAACTACCTGCACCCCTCCCAGTCTGGTGTCAGCTGCAGATTTTATAAGTATAATCTCCACTTCATTATGCAAGTCATTAATGAAAGTATTGAGTAGTACCAGAGCCAGGCCTGACCCCTGCAGCACCCCACTAGATACACCTCCCCGTCTGACAGTGAACCATGGATAACTACTCTTTGAGTGTCTTTCAACCACTTCTGCTCGCACCTTATAGTAATTTCATCTAGACCAGTGGTTCTCAACCAGGGGTACATGTACCCCTGGGAGTACACAGAGGACTTCCACAGGGTACATCAATGCATCTAGATACTTGCCTAGTTTTACAACAGGCTATAAAAAAGCACTAGAGAAGTCAGTCCAAACTAAAATTTCAGACAGACGTTGACTTGTTTATACTGTTCTATATACTATACACTGAAATGTAAGGACAATATTTATATTCCAATTGATTTTTTTTATAATTATATGATTAAAATGAGAAAGGAAGCAATTTGTCATACTAGTGTGGCTGTGACACTTTTGTATTTTTATGTCCGATTTTATAAGCAAGTCGTTTTTAAGTGAGGTGAAACTTGGGGGTACGCGAGACAAATCAGACTCCTGCACGGGGGACAGTCGTCTGGAAAGGTTGAGAGCCACTGATCTACACCTCATTTCCCTAGTTTGCAATGAGACTGTCATGACCTGCGCTATCGCCCTTCCCCCCAGCGTCATAACCAGCTGCTACAGCCAACGCTCCCTGGCAGCTGCTGCATGTGGACGCCAGGGGCTTGTTAGGGGTACTTGCAATACCTCTTCTGCTTCAGCGCTAGCCAACTGGGCCCATGGTGTCAGAGCTGAAACCGGTTTGGTCCTGTGTACACTAGCGCTTTGGCCACTTTCAGCACCACTTCCTGGGATTCATCATTGTAACACATTGATTTCTTAGTGTGGGCCAGGACCTTCACTGCAATCAACTCACACCAGGCTCACTACCAGGGACCTACTTAATGGAGTTGACAAGATTTCAGGACCCAGGAGTCCTGCCGGAGATAGTCATATCCTAGGGGGATATGAAAGAAGAAAAGGGTCCCTGTTCTTTGGGGCAGCAAGGAGATTTGGGGTCTCTCTCTCTATTCTGCCCTTCCTGCCCCCCCCCATCTCTCACAAACACACACTATGAAAGAAGTGGGTGGTTTGCATTTTACAACTTCTCATGCAATCACTTCCTGACCCGAACATGTCTGAGGTCAAATTTAGTCTGTATGTGAAAAAAAAAAAAAGTTGCTTAAAAAATTATAACACCCCCCCTCCCACAACCTAAAAACATCCCCTTTGTCCTATGGAGAAAACCCCCCAGCCAGGTCAGCGTTCCTGTGTAACTGCTCTCCAAATAACCTAGACCCGGGAGTCAGGAATGCAAATCTGCAGGAGATCATTTAGTGTGGCTCTTGAAGGAGCACACGGCTATTTTATACTGGGGCTGGAATTTTGAAATGCAAAGATTCCCTCTTCTGTCTGAATGGGGGACTCTGGGTTAATAGGGCAGAGGCATTTTCAACTGCCTAGGGGATTTAGGTGCCCAAGTCCCACTGACTGTAACAGGCATTGGGTGGAGTTCCGCGAGACCCCCTTGGAGACCCTCGCCTTGTGGGGTAGCGGGATCGACACAGCTGGTTGTACATTGCCAATTATTTCATGAGAATTTTGAAAAACGAAATAGTTTTTTGTCAAAATTCCCCAAGAAACATTTTCCATTTTTTGATGAACTGAAAATCGTTTTTGGATAAAATTTTTGGTTTCTATTTTTTCATTGAAAAATTTCATCAAAAGTGAATCCCCCCCCCGAAAATGTCCTCTTTCATGAACTCCATTGCCGGCTCGCTCTGGCGCTGGGCAGAGCATTCTGGGCCTCCAGCCCAGAGGTGGATGGATCCAAAGCGTCTTGGCCTAGGAGCTGGTTCTCTTGGGGAGCTGTGTTAACCCCAGAATCACCTTCTCCACCCAGGTCAGGTTTGGATTCAGATCTGAGCCCTCACCTTGTGGCCCAATGATAGTAGGCTCAGAAACCTGGATCCTGTGGTTCTTAGCCCTATTTGCGAAGCCTGTCTAACGCTCAGTGGGCTACAATCAATGCAGACGCTTCAGTAACCATTTCTTTCTCTATTCCAGCATCCCCTCAAAACAAGCAGTAAAAAATGGGCCGGAAAAAAATACAGATCAGTCGAATTTTGGACCAGCGCAACCGTCAGGTAAGCCCCAGCCCCAGGCCCATCCAGAAACTGGTCTGGGGAAACACCGGAGAGTCAATATCGAGGCTGGGCAAAGGGGTTTGGATTCAACTGTGGGGAAAGGTGCAGGCTTGTTGGCTCTGGAAATGTCGCACGCACAGAGGCAGAGCAAACTGCTCCTGCACCCCGTCCCTTAGGCACCGGGCCTCTGGCCCTGCCCGGCAGGAACCACCAGTGATATGCTCAGGCTCTGTCACTCCAAGGCCTGGACACTAGCATGGACTCTGCACGCTCATTTGGCAACTAGACCCACGACCATCAGACAGGGCAATGTCCAACCCTACCAGCCGAGAGCAGAATTGGAGGCAGGGAGCGAGGGGAGATGCACCACAGTGCCCTGAGCCAGCCAATTCCTCAACCTGGGGCTGGGCTTGACCCAGCAACCTAGCGGTAGCAGCCTCCATAGGCTGTTCCCAATGCACTGCAGCCTCTTGCCCGGCGCGTGTTACGCAGGGTTGGCCCAGGATGTGACCCGAGTTGTTATACCAACCAGCGTCGCAGTGCACCTCCTCGAGCGCTGTGAGGAGCATGCAGCGTGCACGGTGCGTCACCCCTGCTCGCGTGACCTGAGGTCCATAAAAGCTACAGGCAACACGACAGCTAGTGACGCAGCGGGGCAGAGGTTTGCCTGGCAGTTCAAAGGCAGTGGGCACCATGCCACCAATGCTATTCCAGAGCGGCGTCTGGAGAATGCCTCCCAGAGAGCTCAGTTATGTGCCTAATGAGAGATGATATTTAGAAGCCGCCAGCAGCAGCCGGCTAGCAGGAGAGGCAAGAATTTAGCCCTTTCGTTGGGCATGGCTGCTCCAGGTTCTGCCAGGCTGCATTCTCCCAGAGGACAGTGTTCGTTCTGGGCAAGGGCTGGTGCAGATAGGCACCCAGAAGTTCATCTGCTTAACTGAAATAGCTGCGCCTCAGTGGCCCCAGCGCCAGGCGGGTGTGAAAGGCTCCCCCTGTCGCTGGTATAAATGGCTTCGCGAGGAGCAGGGCGGTGGAGAACCGCACCCAAGGTTCGAGCTGGTTGGGAATTTTTCAGTGAAACAAGATTTGATGGAAAATGCCGATTGTGCCGAGCGGCTAGCGTTCCCCCCGGCCCTGCCCAGGGTCTCCATCCGGGAGATGCTGCGCGAGCTCGGAGGACAGTCACAACACCCTCCTGTAACCCGCCCCTCTGCCCATGCCCGGCGTGGAGTCTGCACAGTGACAGAGACCGCGACCCTGCTGGCGGAGCTGGGTGGTGGAATTCCAGGCACAGGAAGGCCTCTGAGCTGCTGCCCGTGCTGGCATTGGCCAAGGATCGGGGAAGGGGATGTTAGAAGGAGAGAAGAGGAGGCGGGTTGCAGGATCCTGGTGGGCTGCCCGGGGAGGGCACTAAGCAGCCTGATAGGTCCAGGCTCCCAGCTGGTGCAAGCTGTGCCCACTGGCACGGGCACCAAACGCCCATGCGCCCTAGAGCTCTGATCCACTGAGAGCATCGCTCTGCTGGACGCAGTGCATGTCCGCTCTTAGAATGGGCTGCGGAACAGCTGCCCCCTTCAGTGCATCCGTGCACAGAGGGCCGTGTTGCAGCCAGGCCGGGATCACACGGGGACTGCGGGGCCTTGGCTGCGCTAGGAGAAAGGGTGTGTTCTGGCCGTGTGACAGGCGGCCTGTGGTCACTAACCCCCGGGACGACCCTAGTGTGGAGAAGTCTGCAGGTCCCACACCCATTGCTGCATGGGGTAAAGCCACCCTTCCCCCTAGGGCTTGCCTCACCCTGCTAGCGCTGCAAACTGCCTCGTCTACACTAGGATCTTACCACCGGTTCGCTGACATGGTAAAAATAGTCCTCGTGTGGCAGTGCCGTGTGCGTGTGGTCACAGCAGTTGTGCAAACTGGACACGCCGCGGGGGTGTGTGAAGCACTCACCAAGGGAAGGCTCAGGCTAAGCGCCGAGCACCGAATTTAGTTCAGTGCTCTGAGGTCGGTGCTAATTATACTCCCCTGACGGCGGGTCCTGTGTTGTCGCCCACACACGCACAGGGCCAGATTTTCAGACGCGCTTCCCACGCTGAGCGTCAGGCCGCTGAGCGCCTGCGTCCCAATGGGAGCAGCTGGGGGCCAAGGTGCCTACTGGCGGTTGAGGTCTGTGGAAGGTGTGGCCAGGGCTGGGGGTGCCCAGCACCTGCGGATATGGCCTGGCTATGTCCTGCCACTGCGTCCCAGCAGGGTAGCATTGCTGTGACCTCTCTCCGGTCAGGGTGTCAATCTGGAGGCGAGTCTGGCCCAGCAGTCTGCAGGGCCGGCGCTCCGGCGCCTTGCGCTTGCCCTGAGCCCTGTGCCCTCCCCTCAGGTGACCTTCACCAAGCGCAAGTTTGGGCTGATGAAGAAGGCCTATGAACTGAGCGTGCTGTGCGACTGCGAGATCGCCCTCATCATCTTCAACAGCACTAACCGCCTCTTCCAGTACGCCAGCACCGACATGGACAAGGTGCTGCTCAAGTACACGGAGTACAGCGAGCCGCACGAGAGCCGCACCAACTCCGACATCCTGGAGGTAACGCCGCCCGGGCGCGCGGGGGTGGGGGGGGCTGCAGGGCAGAACTAACGCTGCTTCCAGGGCAATTAGACAGGCAAAGCCGGCCCGGCAGGCAGCTGCTGAGCAGCCTCTGCATGAAACGAGTTTTGCAGCGTCTCAGCCCGGATCCTAGCGGACAGGTGACCACTGGCAGTAACTGACCCACCCCTTGCTGACAGCCCCGGCAGAGAGGCCGAGGGGAGGAGAGGGCCTTGGAGACCGAACTGCGAGGGGGCAGGCAGGGAAGGACACAGTTGCACCCCACATGCCCCTCTTGTCCCAAGGCAAAGCCTGAGTGTGCAGGGAGCGGGGGGGGGGGGGGGAGTGGGAGCAGCTGCTGTATCTGTGCCAGGGTCTGGGGGGAAGGAAGCTGTGAGGTGCGTGGGATGTGAGGGGTGGGGCAGGGCAAGGAGACCCTGGGCCCTTCCCCCCGCAATGCCTGCCAAGGGAATCCCGGCTGGGCCTCCTCACTCACAGGCTCCCTCCCTGCCAGACGCTGAAGCGGAAGGGCCTGGGGCTGGAGAGCCAGGAACTGGAGCTGGACGAAGGGCTGGACCCCATGGAGAAGATCCGGAAGCTGAACGAGGGGGTGGACCTGACGGTGGCGCGGCCCAGGCTCTACGTGAGTGGCTGGATCCCCGTTCCCCACACAGGGGGTTGAGACCATGGCGATGCCTTGGCGTGGCCAAGATCCACCCAGTGCCCTTCCCCCACCCACAGGGCTGCCTGGCCAGGCGATCCCCTCCCCCACGGGCCCCACTGTGACCCCCACATCCCTGCTCTCCCTTTGCAGTCATCAGCCCCTCCGCCAAGCCACGAAGCGGCCTACGCGGGCACACCGCCCTCTGGGAGCGACGGAGGGCTCAGCAGTGCCAACGGGTCCCCGCAGCACCAGAGCCGCCTGCCTGTGTTCAAGTCGGCGATCCCCAAGCACGTCCAGCCTTCGGGGCGCTCCCCGGGGCCACTGCCACCAGGTGAGTTATCCCCGGGTGGCCAGGCATGGGCAGAGGAAGGGGGGCTCGGCCACGGAATCCAGGGTGTGTGTGTGTGGGGGGGGCTCAGCCACGGAATCCAGGGTGTGTTGGGGGGGGAGCTCGGCCCTGGAATCTGGGGGGGGAGGGGCGTGGTTTGGCTTCTAGAGGCAGCATGTGCTCAGCAGCGCCCCCTTCAGGTTGACGAAGGAGCCAACATCCAATGAGTGTTACCCAAGCTTTGCCCTTCTGCAGTGGCCTGTGGTAACAGGCGAGTGCCCAGGGCCTGGATCTCCCCTGGTTAAAGAAGCTGGTCAAACCCAAAGGTGTCCTGGTCTAGCGGCTAGAGGAGCTGGGGCCCTGTAGTCAGGACTCTTGGGTTCTATTCCCTGTTCTGCCACTGACTCGCTATGCGATCGTAGGCGGATCGCGTCTCCCTCTGCACCTCGGTTTCCCCGTCTGTACCTTGGCGGATCACGACCCTGCCTTGGGCGGAGAGCAGTCATTCCGCTGCGTGGAGGATTTCAACATCTTGGAGTCTGGTTTCATTCCATTTTGGAACAAAAGCTAAAAATGTTGGAATTCTCTGTGAAAGGGAGTGGAGCCCTGGCTGCGGGGCAGTCTGCCTGGCTGGCTACCCGGGAGTCACCGACCTTGGGAGGCCTGGGAGCCCAGACTGCTGAGAAGTCATGGGCATGAGAATCAGGCTTCCAGGCCCTCCAGTGTCCGCTCGCTGTCAGCCTGCTAGGAGCGCTGCCGAGGAGCCCGGCCGGTTTCCATTAGAACTTCGCTGAAATTGAACCAGCTCCATTACACGCTTTGATTCTGACAAACTGACAGGTTCTGAGGACAAAGTGTCTTGTGGGAACTTTTCCGACCGGCTGTAATCCCGACCTTTGCAGCGCGCTGGGGGATCCTGAGCTGGCCGGCGCTAGGGACGTGCACAGTGTTTATTACTGTAGCTTCTCCTGGGTAATTAACAAGCTCAAAGAGTGGACAGCGGGGATGGGCTAACCTGCAGTCAGTCTGCAAAGCGACTGGGAAAATGGCCCCATCTCACTCCACACAGCTGCTTCCTGTGTTTTGCTGAGTCATGAGTGCTGATTTTATGCACACTCACAGGCATGCACCTGCACACTCACAGGCATGCACCTGCACACTCACACTCACAGGCAAGCACAAGCACAAGCACCCACCTGCACACACACACACACACACACACACACACACACACACACACACATGCGCGCGGATGCATTTCTGCTAGTGATGGGCATTTCCCAGCTTCCCTGCATTTTGGGTGGGGTTTGAAATCTGCCCTGTGATCAGGATCTCTCCAGCTCAGAGGGGTGAGCAGGGCCGGGTGGGGGACAGATGGAAACCTCAGTCGCTCAGTGCAGTCGGGCTCAGCAGTGACTGTCAGCTGGAAAAAGTGACTGAGGCTGACCAGTGGAAACTCCCCAGGCGTGGGGGTGAGGGAAAGGGGGGGTGGGTGACGAAGGTGTTGGTGGGTAACATGTGGCTTTGCTTCGGCCGCGTAAGGCTGGAGCCGGAACTCTGTGGGTGGGGCTTGTGTGATCTGTGCAGGGCCCTCGCTGCGCAGGGGGGAGGCCTGGAATGAGCGCCGAGGAGGAGGTTTCCAACCACCCAGCCTGTGGCGGGGGAGCCGACTGGGCCGCATCGCACTGCGCTTTCCCCACGCCGCCCTGCCAGCCCTTGGCCCTGGTCTGCAGGGGCCCAGCCAGCCACCCCTCTGCGCTGGGGCTGCCAGCCAAGAGGACAGTCCTGATGTGGATTCTTGTCCCTGGGTGTTGGACTGAGACCCCCAGAGCCTGTCAACCAGCTGTGACAGCGGGGCCCTGCTGCACCCCAGACCCTCTCCTCTGCCTGGGTCACGGGGGCAGCTGATGGGGGGTTCACCCCAGCTCCTGCTGCCCTCTGTTCCCAAGAGCAGCTCTCTCCATCTTCCCGTGTGTTTGTCTGCCCTGGGGAGATGCGTGGGGAGTGACGCCCTCTGCCACTGCAGGGCCCCATCGCCCCTGGGCAGGTGAAGAGGGGGTAGCAGCTCCCAAAGCAGGCCTGCATGCAGGGCTCAGGGGGGATAAGGAGGAACGGGCGACAGAGAGCGGGCACTGTTGCCCATTCTATGTGTGTGCATGTTGGGTGGAGGGGTTGCCACCCATGGGAAGCCAGAGATCCTGGGAATTGCTGCCATGGGGATGTAGCGCCAGCCTGCTGTGAGTCCTGCCCGCTGAGCAGGGCTGCGAGTCCCAGGCTCAGAGCCCACATTAGCAAATCGTTTCCGTTCCTTGCTGGCGGCGTCATGTCCCCCACACCTGACCCTGGCGTCCCGGCCACAGCCCAGGTGCAGTGCTGCTCGGAGGAGCCCCAGGGCCCGGCCTCTCGCAGGAAGTGGGTTTGCAGTCACAGAAGCAGAGGAGGTTTCCGCCAAGCTCCCCGCTCCCTCCCCTCACACACACTTCTTAGATGAGTGGCCCTGCTTTCAGGCGCCGCTCCGGGAACCCAGGGCTTTCCGACCTGGCTCGGCCAAGAGACGGCGTCCTCTTCCTCCTAAAGGGCCACTTCTGCTATCTGGACTGGGACTCCCAGAATCCTTTGCTTCCCAAGGATGGCGTTCACCTCTGTGCAGAGGCCTGGCACAGGGCCTGGGCACTATTGAAGTCCTGCCTATGCTCCTTGTGCCAGCCCCAGTATCACTAACCCCAAGCATTCAACAATGTTGAATCATGAGATTGGCTTAAAAATCATGAGACTTTTCAACCGGTGATTCATGGGGGTAAGGGGTGTTCTCTCTCTGAACCCTTGGGCTGCGTTTGGCTCACAATTCCCAGCTTCTCTCCACAGGCAGCAGGGTGAGACATTTTATATTTTTTAAGGAAAGCTGAGAGCCTCACCTAATCCCCTGACTCTGGGAGCTGGGGCTTTAAGAAAATGACCACGTCTTGCGAGACTCCAGAGTTGGCAGCTCTGCCGCCTTCCTAGGTTGTTTTGTAACCAATCCTCCTGCTCAAGTGGCATCTCTTCTCTGATGGAGGCTGGATGTGACGACAGCTGGGGACATAGAAATGTAGCTATGAATTAAACACGACCCTGCTCCGAAGGAGATCTCTCTGGCCACGCCCCACGTACAAGGTCGTCGCCTCCAGTGCACTTGAGCTCACTTCTGACAGGGTGAATTTGCCTCCAGACTTGTTATCGTTATGATTGCGCATAGGAAGTGCGCTGTGCCAGGTGCTGTACATACCCAGAGGGATAGCTCAGTGGTTTGAGCATTGGGCTGCTAAACCCAGGATTGTGAGTTCAATCCTTGAGGGGCCACTTAGGGATCTGGGGCAAAATCAGTACTTGGTCCTGCTAGTGAAGGCAGGGGGCTGGACTCGATGACCTTTCAAGGTCCCTTCTAGCTCTAGGAGATCGGATACCTCCATTAATTAATTTAAATTTATGCTGTGCCTTATCTCAGACTCCAGTGCAATCACCTGCCATTCCCTGAGCTGGGCTTTCACCCCAGTGCTTCCCAGATGCACTAACCTTTGCCTGCTTCTCCCTGCCCAGGCCTTGGCTACCCTCTCTTCTCCCATGGCAACCTGAACCGAGCCCTGGCTACCAAGACCCCTCCCCCGCTCTACCTAGGGGCAGACGGCCGCAGGGTGGATGTCCACAGCAGTTTGTCCAGCGCCAGGAGCAATCTGACATCAGCGGTAAGTGCCACTCTCGGTGCGTCTGGTGACAAGGGTCTAGGAAGGGTCCCTCTGAAATACAGCCGCCGGTGAGAGCCTGTATTTAATAAATGAAAGCCCTTGAGAACTGCCCGCTGGGCTACAGCTCCCCCCACCAGCCATGCAGCAGGGCCCCGGCAGGCACTGCAGGAGGCTCCGGGGTTTGTCTTCGGAGGAGCAGCACAAGGTTGTCATGGGGGTAGCGGAGAGGGAAGGAGGCCACTGTTCTGAGATCTCAGGAGGCTCCAGCCAGGCTGCGGCTCTGTGAGGGGGCAGATCAGGAGTCGCTCCAAGGGCGTGGGTGGATTGCACCAGCACTGGGCGGGCGAGTGAGAGGAGAACCTGCCCCACTGCGTGCAGAGGAGTCAGAGCCATGGGGCGGAGGGGAGCTGAGCACTCCCTTTGCAGGGAGTTTAGGGATCCCCAGTTTCTTGGTTTGTACTGGGGGACGTGGGAGGGGGAAGGAGCAAGGCTCCCTGGGGAAAGAAAACAGATCTTTGCCCAGCAGCCCCTTCTCTGGGGAGCTTGGAGCTCTGGGGTGAAGAGGGTCAGGGATGAAACCGTGGCTTTGAAAGAGCCCAGAGTTGGGGGACGTAGTTCACACTCACTCATTTGCACACACAGTGTGCAGGCACACGCATGCCAGGTGCACACTCACCCAGCCACATGCACAGCCAGATACACGTGCCCAGTCATGCTCACACAAACTCACACGCACATGGTCACACACACCCCCTGTCGTGCATGCACTCTCACACCGGGCAGGCACACCCGCGGCCTTGCAGACTGGACATTTCCGGGGGGTGAGATGGGAGGGGGCGGGGGGAAACACTCAGGGAGCAATTGCGGGCCAGGGGTCAGAGCGGCACGGAGGGGAGCGGGGGAAGGACCCGAGTGGGGTGTTTATTGTTTGTTTGTCTCAGCAGCGATCGCTCTACCCTGGCCTGCAGACGGTGAGCCCAGGGCTGCCCGCCGGCAATGGCAGCCTGCCAGCCCACGGGCTAGGGGGCTTCCCCTTCCTCTCCTCAAGCCAAGCAGGTAAGCCCCGGTGGATAGCTCCTAGCCCGACATCCCCCTCACCCAGTGCCTAGATGTCTCCCCACACCTGGCCAGGGGCTGCATTTCGAATCCCCGTCCCAGAGCTGAGCTGGGCTGTTCTCCTCACTCACTGCATGGCCTTGGGGAAGGGAGCCAGGCACCCGCAAATGGCCAGATGCGCCTGGAATCCCTCCCTTGGGCTCAGCCCGGGTGTAAACGACACAGCAGGTGTAAACTGGCAGTGGACAAGGAGCTCCCTCCACTTTCACCCGTTAGCCCTTCTCCTCCTGATGTCCCGTCTGCTTTCTCATTGGCAGAGTACGGGCCCGGCGAGGCCTCCTCGCACCCCGGCTACCTCCAGCCCAACGCCATCGCCTCCTGGCAGCACCACCGCGACATGGCAGCCTCCGCGCACCTGCCGCTGGGGTAAGAACCACGCCCAGCTCCCAGCCTTGGCTGGGGGCTGAGCGGGACTTCTCTCCGGGGGGCAGGAACCCATCCCTTCCCCAGCCTCTCTCCCCACAGGCCAGCAGGGCTGGGTGCAGGGGTTAGATCGTCACGTCTGCATCCCCCCCCTCTCCCTTTCCCCATTGCTCTCCCTCCATCTCCCTTCCCCTGCTCCCATCACTGGTCCCCGGTCCCCACAGGGCTGGCCAGCGAAGCCCTAGCCCCGCTGGCTCTGAGGGTAAAACCCAAACAGGCCGGGCAGGCGCCTTCTCCTCATAGGTTCTGGTGCCACCTGGTGGCAGGAGCTCAGCACAGGCTGGCGAAGAGATTGGTGCCTTCTGCCTGCTCCCCACCGGGAGTTTGTTCCTCCCCACGTTCCGGGCACTGGCAGCCGAACGGAGGGAGCTGGTAGCACTGCAGACGGCAGGGGGCAGCTCCACCAGTGGCCGGCTGCAGCTTCCAGTGGCTCTGGGTGCTGTGCTGTGATGGCTTGGCCTGGCAGATCCAGGCGCCCTCTCCCTGAACGCAGAGGACAGCGCAGCTCCCCCAGCTCCTCGGCTAGAACGGCCCCGGGGGGAAACTGGACCCACGTCTGCCCCAGGCCCCGGGAGCAGCGACTCTGTGGCAGGGCCCAACACACAATTGTGATGGCAGCTGGGCACGGATGGCCCTGTTCGGGGGTGGGTTTATTTCCAGAGCCCCCAGCTTCCGGGCGAGCCCTACTCCTGGGAAACCCCCCCCCCACCCGCTGCCTTATCCCAGCAGGTCCGGGATGTTTGCAAAGCCTATTTAAAACTGGCTCTGCCCAAGGGACAGTGCCCCACCCCTCCCCTGAGCCAGGCTCCCAGCTGCTCTCCCAGGCGCGTGGGTGGGGGAAGCGCTTGGGAACCTGGTGCCCCAGTGGGTTGCACCTTGTGGGCCGCCAGTTCTAATCTAGCTCTGGCCAGGAGCGAGGAAGTTGGTAGTGTCTGGCGGCTGCTGGGTGAGACGTTTTTGGTGGAGCTCAGCGTCTCCCTGGCACCAACGCCGCCGAGAGAACTGGCACAAACGGGCCACCCCTATCGGCAAGGGCTGCCATGGGCAGCAACTTCCTGCTAGAGGCCTGGGAACACTGGCAGGGGGCAGTGTGTGGGAACCTCGGCCCGGGGGGAATAGTGGGCAGTGCCAGCATGCTGGGCACGTGAAACATTTCAAAGTGGGTGGGGAAGAAAGCAGATCTCCCACTAATCTGGCCTGGAGGGTCACCCTGCTGGTGGCCCTTGTAGGGAGGGAACTGGACCCCCTCCCCTCACACACACAGTTGGTTAGAAGAGGAGCCGCTCCCCAGTGCAAAGCCCAAGTGGGAGCATGTCAGCAGCCCCCATTCCTGAGCCAGGGGATTAAAGGGGGGAAATGCCCCCTGCCCCCACGAGCTGGGGGGCTGGATATTTACAGTCCAACTTCCTGCCTGGGGTGGGAAATGCAGCCAGGAATAAGGGGCCATTTTTTTAAAGGTCGGCAAACGTTTCCCCTGCTCCCCAACCCCAGCCAATCAGGGAGTTCGCCGAGGGTCAGTTCCGGTTGCCTTGGGATGGAGGCAGGAGTCTGAGAGCAGCCACAGCCCAGCTGCTTGGGGCCGAGAGATCCCCTGGTGGCTTCCTCCTTCGAAGTCTCCCTCTGGCTCCCAGCCTGGCTCACGCCCTCCTCTTTTCTTCCCCAGGGCGGGCGGCAGAATGCTCCCCACCGAAGAGGCAGCCCCAGCCCCCAGCAGCTCGCCCCAGCACCAGGCCGTCAGCATCAAATCTGAGCGGGTCTCCCCGGTGATCAGCTGCAGCTCGGCCACCCCCCAGCACTCCCTGAGCGGCCTGTCCTCCCTCGGCGACGTCCCCAGAGGCCCCGGGGACCCGCCCCAGCGAGACGAGTATGCCAAGGCCTATCACTACCCGCTGGTCCTGTCCCGGCCGCTGGCGGAGGAGCAGCAGGGGGGTGTCCCCATGCGGCGCCTGCAAGTGACGGACGTTTGGCAGAGATAGTGGGGCCGGCTGTCCGGGGTGGGGGGACGCCCGCGCTGTTTGTGTGTACGTACTGGCAGTGGCAGGCCCAGTGTGTGACATGCCTCCTTTTCTGCTCGGAAGCACTTGTACCTTTCTCCTGGGGTCCCCTGCAGCCATGGCTACCCACAGGGCATGGCTGAGTGCTGGGGCGGGGGGGAAGTCCCAGAACACCCTGGGCTGTGAGTGCCTGCGGGGAGCCCCCCTCGGTGCCCTGCCC